GGCCTCCCAGAGTGCTAGGATTACAGGCGTGAGCTACCGCGCCCGGCTGAAAACTGTTCTTAATGCCGTATTCTCTAAGTAGGAAATGTTTTGTCATCTTCTGGTAGCTGAGCTCTGTAGTCCATTGGGGTAGAGTTCTGTAGGTAACATTGTCAGAGAAAAGCAGAAGAATGAAAGACAAATTTCATATGTCAAAATGAATCTGTAGGAAGTAAGCCTGTGTTATCATAAATGCTCTTCTTCTATCCTCTTTATTTGTCATGGGTGTTTGTAGACTTTTGAATATTTATAGATATACACATATGTATATATAATATGTGATATACGAAATAAAATATGTATATGCTTTAGTCATTTCTTTGTCCTCCATTTTGGGAGTAGAAAGAGAGAGATTGAAAGAGGGAATGATGTGAAAAAGTACTGGTGAGATTAAGATAAATCGTGTCCTACTGAAATTAAGCTGACATGATTTAATACATTTGTATTGAGGGAGTTATTAAAAGTTCCGAAAGGTGTCTAGTTTCTCTGGAAATAGGACAGGATTAAGTTACATACATTCAGAAAACTTGCTACATAGAGAGTCCTTTGTCAGTGCTCCTGGTGTCCATTGCTCATGGTTCATGGTCGTATGTCACGGACAAAAATGTTTAGGCTTCCTTGGAAGCTCATTAAAATAGACTACCTAAAACTTTGCCTAGGTAACCTTAAAAGGAAGTGTGAAGCTTACATAAATGCTTATAGATACTGGTTCTACTCATGCAGATCAAATCATATAACAATATTACCAAGCCAAAGCTAGTTTCTTTTCACAGACTGTATTTAAAGGGGCCAAACTCTAGGCTAATTGTATAATTTAGACTAGTCCTTAATATGGTTGCTCTTTAATGTAGCTCAAGGAATGCTAAATAGCCAGAACACCCGAATGAGTGGGACAGTATATATTTCTTAATGTCTCTCTTACCTCATGTGTGTTATATGCTCGAGGAATGACCTGGGGGAAGGTACAGGATAATAAAGCTTCAGGATCAATAGATTCTAAAGCTACTTTGCTGGTTGAACTTTGTATCCATAGATTATTAATCTAAATAAATTGAATATATTTATATAGTTGAAACTTGCTCTGGAGTCAGTTTTATCTCTAGAGCTAATCTGAGAACATTGGAGGTATTTTGTTTCAAATTCATGGGAATTCCAAGTAAGCTCTGTTTGTGTTCCCTGCAAAATACCTGAATTTCACTCATGTGCCTGATAGTTCGAGAGTTAGAGAGGCAGAGGTGGTACCCAGAAACTGTCACAGTGACCCTGGCCCCAGGTTTTGGCTGAGGATGGACACGTACAGAGACATTCTCTAGCTATGGTCTTTATGGGTCTTCCTGTTTTACTTGGAGGATCCTCTTAAATCATAAAAGTACTCTTTAAGTAATGCCACTGTCCAAAAGATTTTTAAACAATATAAAGATTTTGAATACATTGTCTTGATTTTATTGATTTAGACACATATATCAAAGTATCAGCTCAAAATTTTGAATTGTATACAATTAGAATGACTCATCTTGACTGGAATGAATGGCTGGTTATTGAATTTTCTTTCTTTCTTTTTTTGATGGGATCTCTATGTGTTTATGTGTCAAATAGCCTGAAGTTCAAGTTCGACAGGTTGCTGTAAAATTTGCCAGCACAGTGTTTCCCTCGGATCATATACCTTCCAGATATTTGCTCCTGTTGGCTGCAGGAGATCCGTAAGTTTCAAAGGATATTAATTTGAATTTGGGTTCATTTTAAATTTATTTGAAAATTACTAA